TGTGTGTGTGTTTTCATTAGGATTTCCTTTATACAGGATCATACCATCTGTGAATGGAGAAAGTTTTACTTTTTTTCTTTTCAAACTGGATGTCTTTAATTGTTTTGTGTCTGATTTCACTGGCTCAAGTCTTTGGTACAGTACTGAGTGGAAGTGATGAAAGCCAATGTCCTTGCCTTATCCTTCATCTTAGAAGGAAAGCATCAAGCATGGTGCTAGTTGTAGGTTTTCTGAACATAGTCTTTATCTGGTTGAGGATATATCCTCCTTCTCAAGGTTTTGGGAAACTATTTGTTTGAACAATGAATGGGCGGTAGGTTTTGTCATTTGCTCTTTCTGCCAATATTAAGATGATTGTGCAGTTTTCATCCTTTATATTATTAATTTGGTATATAACATGAATTTATTTGTTTTTAAACCTCCTTTATATTCCTGATTGATACCACTTAATTGTGATATATAATTCTTTTTATATATTACAAGATTAAGTTTGCTGGTATTTTATTAGATGCTTGTGTTTACATTAGAAGGAATAGTGTTCTGTAGTTGTCTTTTCTTGTGAGTGTCAGACTGGCATCAATTAATTGATTTGTGTTTCCTTTTTATTTTTTTTCCTGAGTTTGTGAAAGCTTAATATTATTTATTTAAATATTTGGTAGCATTAACCATGAAGCTGTTTATGTCTTTGCTTTTCTTCGAGGGATGATTTTAAATGACTAAGTAGAAGTTACTTAGGCTATTTCTTAAGTCTATTTAGTAGTTCGATATTCATACAGATTTATTTCATCTAAGTTAGCTGATTTGTTAGCATATAGTTAGTTGGTCATATTTTCTTACAATCTTTTTACTTTCTGTGATCAGTAGAGATAGCTCTTCTTTAATTCCTGACTTGGATAATTTCTATTTTTTTTCTCTCTTGGTGAGTCTAGCTGAAGTTTTGTCAGTTTTGTTGATCCTTTCAAAGAATCAAATGCCTTTTTGAGCTGGGCATAGTGGCACACACTTGTAATCAAAGCACTTTGAAAAGGGCAATTGCTGAGGAGGGCAATTGCAAGTTTGAGCTGAGTCTGAGCAAATTTGCAGCCTAGCAAGAGACTCTCAAAGTAAAAATTTAAAAACAGATTTGAAAATGTAACTCAGTGTGAAGAGTTTAATCCCCAATAACAAAAACAAAAAACAACTTTGTATTTCATTGATTTAGGTTTTTCTGTTAATCTGTTGGCCTGTGCTCCAATGTTTATTTTCTTTATCTACTTTCAGTGGGCTGTTTCTTCTTCTTTTTCTTTTGCTCTCTCCTCCTCCTCATCTTTTCCTCTTCCTTTTCTTCCTCTCCTTCCTTTTTTTCTCTTCCTCTTTTTTCCTCTTTCTCATCTTCCTCCTGTTCCTCCTCCTCCTCTTTTTTTTTTGAAGTGCGCGGGATACAACCGAGGGACTCATGCATGCTAGACAAGTGCTCTACCACTGAGCTACGTCATCAGGCTTTCCAGTTTTGAGACAAGGCCTTGCTAAATTCCCCAGGCTAGGCTTGAACTTGCAATCCTCCTGTCTTGGCCTTCCAAGTACCTGGGAATATAGGCATGCATCACCATGCTTGGTATTTTTTTAATTCTTAATATGGAAACTTGGGTTATTGAGAACTTTTTTATTTTCTGCTACAGGTTTTTAATATTATACATTTTCCTCCTACCATTGCTTTAAAGACCATAAATTTTGATGGGTTGTTCTCATTTTTATTCATGAATCAAATATTTTTTCATTTCTCATTTAATTTGTTCCTGATCCACGGTTTATTTAGAGGTTGTTAATTTCCAAATATTTGAGAATTTCCCTGACTCCTTTTTTGTTGTCAACTTAAAACTTAATTCAGATATAGTTTGAGAACATGCTTGTATGACTTCAGTCCTTTTAATTATATTGAGACTTTTTATGACCTGGCCATCTATCCTTGGAAATGGTCCCTAAGTACTTGAAAAAGATACATATTTTGCAGTTTTGGGGTTGACTGTCTTATATAATCAGTTAGATTGGGTTGGTTGTATTCTTCAAGCTTCTCTATCCTTAATAATTTTCTGCCTAGTTGTTTTATAAATTATTGAGTAGTGATAGACAATTCCAATATTTTAATTTTGTCTTAATTTTAATTTTTGTTAGTACATTTTTGTAGCACATGATAATTATACTCATCTTGAGGAGTTCGTTCATGTGCATAACACATCTTAATTCTTGTATATCCCCTTCCCCTCATTCTGCTCCCCCCTCCACCTTTTTATTAAATAATCCACTTCTTTTTTGTCCATTTTTTCATATATTTTGAGGTTCTGTGGTTATATGTGTGTGTCTATCATTAATATAGCTTCCTGATGTATTGCTTTTTTTGTCATTATGAAATATCTCTGTCATATAATTTTATTTTCTATTATCTGATATTTATATAGCCATTCTTGATCTTTTATGCTTAATGTCTTTATGGCATATCTTTTTCCATCTTTTTACTTTCATCCTACTTGTGACTTTGAATCTCAAGTGTAAACAGTTGGAGCTTACTTGTTCTTAATTACCTGACAGTCTCTGTCTTTTGGTTGACATGTTTAAAACATTTTTAATATAATTGTGATTTTATTGGATTTATCCTTCCATTTTACTGTTTATTCTCTGTAAATCTTACTTTTTTTTGTTGTTCCTCTCCTCTTCTTGGATTGCTTCCTTTTGTATTAGCTAGATATTTTTAATGTGTCATTTTAATTTATCTATATTTTAACTTTTCTTTGTAGTTGTTGCTATAGGGATTTTACTTTTTTTAGTTGTTGCTCTAGGGACTTTAATTTACCAGTTTATTTCAGATTTATACTAACTTAATTCCACTGAAATACTGAACTTTGTTCCAGTATAGTGCATTTTCTTTTCCCTTCTGTTTGCTGTTGCTGTCATGTGTTATTGTATATGGCTTTGAATCTACTAATCGTGTTGTCATTATTGCATTCTAAATTTTAATTACTTTAAAGTAGTTAAGGAAAAAAAATGAGAAAAAAAAGTATCTCTAGGATCTTTTTTACCAGCTCGCATATATATAATTCCTGGTGTTCTCTGGTTATTTATGTCACTGAAGTCAATCTTTCAGTGTAAAATGTTCTTTTATGTAAAGTATTTTATGTAAAGCAAATGTCTTAATCACTCTGCTTATCTGGGGATGTGTTTGTCAGCCTTTGTTTTGGAAGGCAGTTTTGCCAAATACAGAATTCTTGTCTCACAAGGCCTGTAGGTGCCTACTTGTAACCTCATCCACTCTGGAGACTGAGGCAGGAGTTTTGCAAATTGAATCCCAGACTGAGAAATGTAGTCAGACCCTACTTCCACCAAAAAAAAAGAGAGAGATTGAGAGACGAAAAGCAGACAGACAGACAGATAGACCTGGAGATATATCTCACCATTGGAGTGCTTGTCTAGCCAGTGCAAGACCCTGGTTCAATTCATTACTGAAAATAAAAGCTTTTTATTTCAGTATTCTGGATATGGCATTTTACTGTGTATCTTCCATCTTTTCAGGTGTGAAGTCAGTCATTGATTGTATTGATTTTCCACTCTACAGTGTGATGTGTTGTTTTTTCTTACTGCTGGCCAGACTTTTCTTTTTATGTGTTCACCAGTTTGATGATGGTATATCTGTGGTGTGGGTCTGTGTGTATCATACTTGATTGTTGCTTTTGAGTATGTAGATTAATGGTTTTTATCAAGTTTGGGAGGTTTTCAGCCAGAGTTTTGCCAGGTATTCCTTTTGCCCTTTGTCTCTATCCTTTCCTTGTAGGATTCCTATAATATGAAATTGATACCCTTTTGTTTTTAATGTTGCACAGGTCTTTAAATCTCTGTTCACTTTTCTTCCCTGTTTTTATTTGCTGTGGCTGGTTTATCAGTTAACCTCTCTTCAGGTTTACTGGTTCTTTCATCCGGCAGTGCAAATCTGCTGTTGAATCTCCTTCTTGTCATTGTACTTTCCAAATCTGAAATTTTTATTTCATTTCTTTAAAATTCCAATTTCTTTAAAATTTCCTATCTCATTATCAATAGTCTTCTATGAGACATTGATATACCTGGGTTTTTTTTCCCCCAGTACTAGGGATTGGATCCAGAGCCTTCACACTGGGCTATGCCCCTATCCCTGCCACCTTTGTTCTTTATTTTTTATTTTTGAGCCGGGGTCTTGCTAAGTTGCCAAGCTGCGCAGGCTGGGCTTGAACTTGTAATCCTTTCCTTTAAATACTTAGACATGATGTCCTTTAGTTCTTTGAACATATCTGTATTAGCTGACTTAAGGTTTTTGCGTAGTAAACGCAACATCTGGGCTTTCTCAGGTGTAATTTCTTTTTTTTTCTTTTGTTCCCGGGAACCAAACTCAGGACCTTGCACTTGCCAGGCAGGCACTGTGCCACTGAGCTATATCCCCGACCCTTTTTTTTCCTTTTTAGATATAAATTCAGTTGACTGTTCTAGCCTGTGTGTGAGCCATACTTTATTATTGTAATACCTTATATGTATGATAATTTTTTGTCAAAAACATGACTGTGTTATTTTTATCCTTCGTATTATTGATAAGGTGTACAAACTGAACTACTGTTCTGATATTAAGCCAGCTTTAGTAGGCTGCTGGCTTTCACAGCTTCGGTGGTTCTGAGGCTCTTGGTTTTTAAGGTTGACTGGAGAAAGGGAGAAGAGATCGGAATTAGGGCAAGCCAGAAAGCTCACTGTTTTTACCAAGAAGTTTTTTTCTGGAATAAATGCTTATGGAGCAGTTTTTTTCTGGAATAAATGCTTGTTGCAAGTTTTGGTTGATTTCTAGCATTGAGAAAAATTTGGTTTTGACAGTCTTTTGTCATGGCTTTTTGGAGAAAGTGAATTTTCAATGACCCTTTACCTACTCTCCCCTATGTGCTCTTCGGTCTCTCTGTGCTGTTTTGCGTATTTTCTGCTTGACATCTGAATAATCAATGTGCATTTATTGACAGCCATGAAAGCCCTTTCTTTGATTTCATTGAAAGCTGCTTGCGAAATAAACATGAAATGGTTATTTATGAAGCTGCGTCTGCGATAATCCATCTTCCTAACTGTACTGCAAGAGAGTTGGCACCTGCGGTATCGGGTGAGTTGAATACTTGATAACTGGCTTTCGTTTGTGTTCTTAAGTTTGATAGGGCTACACAATTAAGAAGGATTTTGAAACTTAGTTCTGTATGTGTGGACTTTGCATTCTGGTAGCATACATGTAGGAAATTTCAGTTGTTCTTTATTACTACTTTTTTGAAGTTTCTGTTTCCCCATACAAAACTTTTGAAAGAATGTTACTTAAAAGACAAATAACTTTAATGTCTTTAGTTTTCCTTAATGTTTAGAAAGCCCATTATTATAATTATCAATAGCTCTGTCATTTATATTCAAATATTAATACTAATTAATACAAATATTAATTCAAATATTAATACTGATCCTTAGGAAAAGAGCAAACTTTATTTTCTATTTTTGCTGACATTTTTCATGTAAATTTTTGATGCTGCAATCTTTATATATATTTTTATATATATAACAATTTTTTATATATATAAATCTTTATATATATTTATATATATTTTGATGCTGCAATTCTTTATATATATTTTGAATATGATTCATTATGGTTTTGTTTTTGTGGTACCGGGGATTGAACTCATGACCTTGTGCTTGCCAGGCAGGCTCTTATGCCACTGAGCTGTTTCCCCAGTCCCATTATGTATTTTATTTTCAGCTAGATGGTATAAGGTGGTATATGATAAAATGAATAACATTTATAGTGTTTTTTTGTTTTTTCAGTTCTTCAACTTTTCTGTAGCTCTCCTAAGCCAGCCTTGCGATATGCAGCTGTGAGGACCTTGAACAAGGTGAGATCTCTTTGCTAACTGTGGATTTTGATACCAGTGTTTGATGAAACATTAAATGTGGAGCATTTGGCTTTTTCATTAAGGTTGGTATGTATGATTTCTGAGCTTCAGCTCTGTAGTACCTCATTTGTATATATGAGCTTAGTTATTTCCATTTTTGCTAATATTTCACACAAAGTTATAACTTCATTTCTGACTTGTAAGCACTTCATATTCAAGAGCTGCCCTGTTCACTATGGTAGGCATTCACCACAAATAGTATTTAAATTAAAATTAAGTAAAACATTTAGTTCCTTAGCCATTCTAATCATATTTCCTGTGCTTATAGCCATATGAATTAATGAGTATCATATTAGATAGTATAGATATTGAACATTTCTATTAATCCCTCATCTGTAGTCTTAGGACCAGCCAGATGTGTCTCAGAATTCAGGGTTTTGTGAAATTTGGAAAGGCAGTATGCCCTCTCTTCTGGTACTAATCACTTCCAGGGGCCTGGAGCAGCACCCCAGCACAAAGACACACTGATATTTCTGCACAAAACCCATGACTCTCCTTGCTAAGTGGATAAATGAAGGCTGAGTTTTTCATTAGCATGGGCCATGTTTCACTGTGAAATGTACTGTTATGACAATGCTTTTCAGGGTATTACCATGCTTTCAGGGTTATAGGTTAGGGATTCTTTACCAGTATAGGATAGATTGAGGCAGAATACCATCAGCACTAGCAAGAGAGCTTAAGAATTGCGGCACCATCTGTGGCCAGGGCCATCCAGTTTTGTGTTATTACAGAAGTAGGGCTAGAGTGCACCTCAGGACTGGAGCACTTGCCTAGCATGCATGCCTCGCACACGTACACACACACCAAAGCCTATTAACTACAGAAGTGTTTTCTAACTGCTACTAGCAGTGTTTATTGAGCAGTGTTTACCATGGTAGGTCCTGTCTCAAAAATCCTAATACCTGGTAGAGTAGATATACATGTGCTATAAGGAAATACAGGTCTATAATAAAAGACAGACTGTGATATTGTCATGAAGGTTATACTGTGGTAATTAATAATTTATCAACTGATATACATGATTAATTAGAAACAGTTATATTTAACCTATCTTGTACCCTTTGGATTGCCACTTAATGAAAATCTAAGTTTTGGTCTTTAGCAGCAGTAGTGTGCTCACTTTTTTTGTTTTCTTGCCCTTCCACAAGGTGGCAATGAAGCACCCTTCTGCCGTTACTGCCTGCAATCTGGACTTAGAAAACTTAATCACAGACACAAACAGAAGTATCGCTACCCTGGCCATTACTACACTGCTCAAAACAGGAAGCGAGAGCAGTGTAGACAGGCTCATGAAGCAGATATCTTCTTTTGTGTCTGAAATTTCAGATGAGTTCAAGGTAAGACTTTAAACTTGATCATGTTTTCTTCCTAAGACTTGCCTATTTCTTTTCTTGGTGGTATCCTTTGAGGAGAAAAAAATTTTAAACTTTTAGAAAGTCTAATTTATCCATTGTTTTTCTTTTATAGTTAATGCGATGTTCTACCTAAATCACTTTTATCTGCCTCCAACTCATTCAGATCTTCTCTCATGTTTTACTCTAAATGCCTTGTGGTTTAGCTTTTACATTTTGGTCTGTGATCTATCTTGAATTAATGTTTGTATAATAAGTTTAGTGTTTTTCTATATTAATAACCAATTTTTCCAATAGAATTTGTTGAAAAGACTTCCTTTCTCTTTCACGGTGCTTTCTTTGTCTGAAAAAGTACACAACTAAGTAAATGTTTATTCATAGTATGTACAAGTCTCTTTTTAAACTTTTCCATTAATATGGGATCCTGTGACTTTGCCGAATTGTCTTACTGGTTGTAATCATTGTTACATATGTTCCTTAATATTATCTATGTAAGTAATCACTTCCTCTGTCACTAGACAATTTCGCTGCTTTATTTCCAATCCAAATGCCTTTTCTTTCTCTTTTCTTGCCTTATTAAATTAGCTAGTACTTCTGTGGCAGTGTTGAATAGGAGTAGTGAGTATGGTAGAGATAATCAAAAGAATTAAACATTTCAGTTCAAAAAATGAAAATAGAAAGTTTTTATTGTTTTATTCTTCTCTGCCATCTGGTATAAATGACTGTATTATTCTATACTTAGCACATATCAGGTCTTAAAAAATAAACCTAGCCTATATATCAGTGTACATTTTTTATCCTTGGGGAACTTGGAAAGTTATGAAAGTTGTTTTGCAGCTGTTTGTAAAATAAACTGGGATTATGTAGGCTTAGCAAGGATGATGTTGCTAATAGGAATAGAATAGGAATTGGCAAACTTTTCTCTTAACAGACCATGAAATAAATCTTAGGCTTTCTGGGCCCCTCCATTTTCTGTTGTGTATGCTTCTTTTTTTCTTTATAACTTTATTAAAAATTTCAAAAACATCTTAGCTCTCAAAAGTGGGATGCACGCAAGATTGGGCTGTAATTTACTGGCTTCAGTTTCAGAAATTTAAAATGTTTATATACACCAAAATATTGTTAATGAGGAAGTGGAATAATCCATCAATATTTAGTAAAACTGAGACTATATTGAGGGGCAAGAAAGAAGAGGAGGAGGAACAGGTGGAAAAGGCAGAGAAAACAAACCTATAGTTCCATTTTTGGAACTATAAGATCACTTTAATGACAAATGTTCAGTTTTGCAAATATCATGTTGATCAAAGTGCAGATTTTGTACAACATGGTAACATTCATACGAGTACTGAAAAAATAAGCAGAACTGAACTATGCATGTTGCTTGTGAATACATTTGGTAAACTGAAGAAAAGCAAGGAAATGGTAAAGATATTCAGGAGAGTGATCATCTCTGAGAAGGAAGCATGGGCTATGACCAAGGACAGGGAGGGAGCGTACAGAAATTTCAGATATTGAGAACTCTCTTTTTTAAAGCTATATGCTAAGTGCAGAGGCATTTCTTTTTATAGTGGTTTGTTAAATGTATACATATAAGTAATATGAAAAATGTCATAAGAGTTTTTAAAAACCATTTCAGAAGTGTTTTCCCAATTTTTAGTGCTTTCTAAAGGGAAATAAAGAAGGTGAAATTGTTGGGAAGCAAGCTTAAGGAGTCAGGGATACATCCTAAAGTTTGAGTTGTATCTCCCAAAAGCTTATCAGTGTAAATCTTCATATGTATAGATAATATACTCCTCTGCCTCTTAGATTCTTCAAAAAGAATAACTGTTATTCAGATTGCTATTTTGTCAATGGTGGAAAATATAGCTTAACTACTAAAGTCACATAGTCACATAGTGAGTGAGTGAGTAAAGATGAAAAACTAGATTTTCTAGTTTTGAATGCATCAATTCTATTTCTATATCTGCTGCCTAACACTTTGATGTTTGTATCCTTTCTTATGAGGGTCTACTTCAGACTTTGGCCTCTTGTTTTGACATCTTCACATTCAGATATTCATTGTGTCAGTTAAGATAAAAATGTTATTAAAACATTATGAAAGTTTATCAGTTGGAAAAAAAGTAAATCCCAACCTCTGTATTAAAATCAATTCCAAGTGAGTTTCAGTCCTAAATGTATAAACAAAAACAGTAAATATTTTAGAAGAACACTTACAGGAAAACATTTTCATAACCCTGGTCTAAGAAAAATGGTTTAAAGATATGATACAAAGGAAATTTTGGTAAGTTAGATGTGATTAAGGAATTTCCATTTACCAAAACAAAAACAAACATAAAATCAAGCCACAGAGTAGAAGTGCTTGAAATACATACACAGATTAGCTTTAGAAGTCTCATTTTGAGAATGTTATGAAAGAACTCTTAAGTCGAAAAAAGGCATAAGATAAAGAAGATACAAACGCTGTCTGATAAAGGATATGCAAATGACCATGAACATATGACAAATTTATAAGCCTTAAGAAAACACAATTAAAATTGTAATTAATGTAGTTACTAGAAAGGCTGAAATGAAAAAAATCAGGAAATAACAATGATAAAGACAAAAACTTTCATACAATGAGTGGAAATGTAAATTAGTACAGCCATTTTTAGAAAACTGGCAGTGTTTACTAAAGCTGGACAAATGCATATCCTATGACCCACCAGGTTCACTCCTAAGTATATACCCAACAGAAATGTATACACAGGGTCCATTTTATTTTTTGTTTTTTTTTTTTTACAAGGTTCCATTTTAAATGTCAGGCCAAGGTAAGAGAATAACCTGTAGAATCAAAATTTCTGAGTTTAAAATCTTGATTCTAGGGGCTGGGGATTTAGCTCAGCGGCAAAAGCGCCTGCCTGGCAACGCAAGATCGTGAGTTCGGTTCCTGGTACCGGAGAAAAACCAAAAAAAAAAAAAAAAAAAAATCTTGATTCTATCACCTAGTAGCTATGTGACCTAAGGTGAATCATGTAAACGCCTGCTGTCTAAGGTTCCTTAGCTATGCTGTGAAGATAATGACAGTACTTACATCATAGGATTACTTGAAATCTAAATGAAATAATAGTCAAGCATAATATTTCAGTGTCAGTTGTTACTTTGTTTTACATAGAGAGAAAATGGATTGAACTGCTGGTCCAAATTGATTTTTTATATTTGCACAAATAGAATGGTTGAATATTAAGATATTTGGGTTTGTTTTTTCTTCTCCCTTCCACCCCCAGTGCAGAGATGTAAATCTTTTGTAATATAGATAGGCTCATTTCTTTCAGGTTGCTTTAATTTTTGGAAATTTTCTCTTTCCCATTTTAAGATTCAGTTTAATTTTTTAATATGTAGGATATTATAATGCCTTCAAAAGTCATGGCTATAGAAAGAAGTACATTTTTAAAAAGTCACTTCTTTCAGCCTCCCTCATAAGTAGACAAGTTTATTACTTTCAGGTTTACTTTTTTATTGGATTTTTTAGTAAAGGTAAGAGATATATGTGTTTTTATTTCTTTGTCTTTTGTTGTATATGAAAAATAGCATACTATAGATTTCTTTTATACAGTGCTTTCTTTAACCTAAAAATGTATATTGGTAATCATTCCAAATTAGCTGATATTCCTCATTTTTATTTATAGCTACATGGTACCCTAGCAGATGTATGTTATATAGCTTATTGAACCAATTTCCTGTTTAGGTAAATTGCACTATTTTGCAATTGCAAACAAAGCTGGTGGATAGCCCTATGCATGGTTTTTTTTTCCAAAATACTGGAGGTATATTCTCAGGGTAAATTCTTTCAAACCCATATGAAGGGTAAATAAATACATAGTTTAGACACAATGCTCAATTCTACCAGCAGTGTTGGAGAGTGTCTCTTGCTCCACAGTCTCACCAATAGTGGGATTTTTTTTCTTAAGCTTTTGAAATTTTGCCAACCTTCTGAGTGAGAAATGGTATCTTAGTGTAGTTTTGAGTTTCTATTATTATGAGGGAAGTGAAGCATCTTTATGTACTTTTAAAAGTTATGAGATTTTCTGTTGGGTTTTTTGGGTTTTTTTGGTCTTCTGACCAAATAAATGAACATTAGCTGTTTATTTGTGAAACATGTTACGGGTATTTTCTCCATTTGTTATTTGTATTTTGGTTTTTCTGTGATGTGTTCTTTCATGCAGAAGTTTATTTTTATGTAGTCAAATTTGTCTTTTATTGTGCTTAACTTATGAGTCATCGTTAGCCTTTCCCTTCAGATTATGCAGGAATTTACCCCATTTTTTTGTAGTGCACTTATAGTTTCATATTTTACATTTATATCCCTAGTCTGTTGGATTTTATTATTGCATATGGTGTGAGAAACAGATCTGATCTTATCCTTTGCTCATATTGCTCTCCAAATTTTTATTCAAAAGGCCATCTTTGCCCCAGTGGTACGAGATATCATCCTTATCATACAGTAAAAGTTCCATATGTATGTGGGTCTATTTCTAGGCTTTCTGTTCTGTTGGTTTTATCTTCATATACCATTGCCATACACTGTTTTAAACATGGGACCTTTGTAAGTTGTATTAATATCTGTTAGTCCCTCCATTACATCTCTTTATTATTTTCCTGAGAATATTGCATGTTTATTTTCATATGAATTTTAGTATCAATTTTCTAATTTAATGAAAAATCTCACTGGCATTTTTATTGGGATCACATTAAATGTGTAAGTTAGTGTCGCAAACAACAGCCATCTTGACCATGTTGAGAGATCATAACCAAGAGCAGGATGTCTTTTCATCTGTTCAGATCTACTTTTGTGCCTTTCAAGAATTTTTATCAAAAAAAAAAAAGAATTTTTATATATGTTTTGAATGTTTTCTAAATGCTTATTCTAAAATATTTTTGTTGCTCCTGTACATTTTTAAATTATTTGTTTAGCATGCATTCATTATTCCTATTTATGAAATAGTGTCAGATTTCAACACATGTGTACAGCCTGTTCCAATCAGTTAGGATAATTAGCCTATCTCCTTACCATTTCTTTATGTTTGGAACTTTTGAGATCCTCTCTTCTAGTTCTTCATATAATATTTACTAGGTTATTGTGAATTAGTCACCCACCATTCTGTAGATGGGCTCTTGGTACGAAATAAGACTCCCAAGTTAGAGACAAGTGGCTCTTTTTCTTTTCTTTTTTTTGGCACTGAGAATCGAACTCAGGACCTCGTGCTTGCCAGGCGGATACTGTGCTGCTCAGCTGTATCCCCGGGCCCCAAGTCAAAGATGAAAGATGGTACATTACAGCAAGAGCAGTGTCCAGAGTATCAGTATTCTGGGGCTGGTTTTGTCAGTACCAAATCCTGAAGGACTGTAGAACACTAGAATTTGTTTCCTCTGTGTAGCTGTTTTGGTACCTGTTATCCAGCCTCCCTCTATCTCCCTCCTTTTAGGCCATTATATCTTCTATCTAGTTATTATTCATGTATGTAAATACTGGTATTTTTGTATGTTAATTTTGTATCCTGCTATCTTACTGAATTTTGAGTATTTTATTTTTGATTCTCTGGGGTTTTCAGTTATTCTGTCATGTCATCTTAACATAATTTTCCTACTATATTAGGTTTAGGTAGCACTGCTTCATTAAAAGATTATCGACATTTTCTTTCACTCTCTAGTCTCTGAAACAGTGTATTATACTCAGATTTGGTGCTTGCTGGTCGTTGGGAGTCAGGTCTCAGTTCCCCTTGGTTCTGTTTGCATTCTGCACATCTTGCTAGTTATGTACTCATGGCCTTTTGTTTCCAACTTTCTCCCTTTTGTTCCCTCCGTGTAACACAAGGTATGTTCCAGCCTTAAGAAGATAATAATGTCTCCTTCTAAAGTAAAGAGCACACTTCCTTCTAGCTCCCTTGGGAGCAGAAAGCAAGTGTTTATTATCTAGCCTAGTAGTGTTTTCCTTAAGAACCAAGGAAAGTAGATGGGCATGGTAGCATGTACTTGTAAGGCCAGCCTGGGCCACATAGTGAGTTCAAGGCCAGTCTGAATTACAGAGACCCTGTCTCAAAAAACAAAACAGCAACAAAAAAGGACCAAGGAAAGGTTGTTTGCTGCCCATGGTAACATGGTCACGTTCCGTGCCTCGTGGTTCTTACCTTGTAATGCGATGTATTGTATATCCAAGTATTATTTGGCTTTCTCTGCATTTGTCCTTCAGGATTAGGTACTGACAAAACCAGCCCCAGAATACTGATACTCTGGACACTGCTCTTGCTGTAATGTACCATCTTTCATCTTTGACTTGGGGGCCATGGATATAGCTGAGCTGTACAGCACCTGCCTGCCAAGCATGAGGTCCTGAGTTCGATTCTCAGTGCCAAAAAAAAAGGAAAGAAAAGGAGCCACTTATCTTTAACTTGGGAGTCTTGTTTTGTACGAAGAGCCCATGAAATTGTGGCAGGTTAACTTGTCAGCTACAACTCTCATACCTTTCATATTTCTTGACACTGGTCTTTAAAAGTTGTGGCAAATTACCCTAAAAATCATTTCGTCAAGTCATTATTGGATAACTTTCTGTGTTTCCTGTATCAGAATCAGTCTGTTCAAACTTTTTAAAATGTTATTTTTTATTCTTATTAGCAAATATATATTCATGCAGAATGCAATCCAGCTTTCACCAAAAATCTCTTATAAAACTCTATTTAATATTTATTGTGAAATAATTGATACACACACAAATATGTTAAACTACCATCTATTTTAAGAAGTGTATATAGCGACTGGGGATTTAGCTCAGCGGCACAGTGCCTGCCTGGCATGCTCAAGGTTGTGAGTTCGATTCCTGGTACCAGAAGAAAAACAAAAAACAAAAAAAGAAAGAATAAGTGTATGTACATTTTTTAAATTTAAGTTTATTGGTACAGTTTAGGTACACATAAAGCACATTCATTATAAGGAATTTGTATCTGTACATGATATGTCCTGATTTTTTTTTTCCCATTCCCATCCCCTCTTTTCAAAACCTTTTCCCCTCCTCATTCACAAAGCTGTTTGCATTTTATCATTCTTTTCTCATTTTTTCTTTTCCTTCCTTCCTTTTTCCCTCCCTCTCCTTATTTCCCTTTTCCTTTTGAATAATATCTTCCTATTTCACAATATCTAGTGTACATTTATGTTCTTATTTACATTTTCAGTTTCTCATACCAGAAAGACAATGTGATATTTACATGTGTGTTCAATTTATTTTACTTACGATTATAGTCTCAAGGTCCATCCATTACTCTTCATTTTAAGAATTTTTATGTGGATATTTACTTGGGCCAGAGGGTTGAAATCTGTTGAATGAACTTTTTCTTCGCTTTTTTACTTTCTTTTGGGTTCTCATTGCTTATCTTTTATGAACCATTATTTAGGTTCATTTTAGGCAACTCCAGCACGTTCTTAGCTTACAGTAAAACACAGCAAAATATGCCTGGTAGCTAAAATTATGAAGGTGCATTTCTTCTCTCTCTCTTTCTGTCTCTCTGTCCCTCTCTTTCTCTCTCCGTGGGATGTGTGTGTGTGTGTGTGTGTGTGTGTGTGTGTGTGTGTGTGTGTGTGTGTGTGTCTGTGTGTTAGCAGTGGTGAGGATGGAATGCAGGAGTGCTTTGCCCCTGAGCTATACCCCATCTCTTTTCAATTTTATTTTTAAATTTTGAGACAAGACCTCAACTAAGTTGCCCGGGCTGGCCTCAGACTTGGAATCCTACCTCATCCTCACCAGTGGCTGGGATTACAAGCGTGCACCGACATGCCAGGCTCTGTGTTTTTTGTACCATAGCGGGAGTCGCACGGTCACTCTAAGGGGAATGGTTCCTGTTTCTTTGCAGGTGGTGGTTGTACAGGCAATCAGTGCTCTCTGTCAGAAGTATCCTCGGAAGCACAGTGTCATGATGACTTTCCTCTCCAACATGCTTCGAGATGATGTAGGTAGAACACTCCCTAACCATCGCAGGTTACTCTATTAAATTCTCATGCTGTTGTAATTAGATTTCTTTATCTTCTCAGTATGCCTTTCAAATAGCATATTTTAACTCTGGTTTACTTTGATTACTAAATATGTTATGGTATTCTTTGTTTTCACATTTGGAGAAAAAAATCCTGTTTTTTTTTTAAATAAAAGAGAATTTAAATTTGAACGTTATAAGCATGTGTCTTGGAGTATAATCATTTCTCCGAAAAGTATCTTTATAACAAATGGCAGTTTTCTCTCTTTTTGCCAGGGAGGCTTTGAATATAAGCGGGCCATTGTCGACTGCATAATCACCATTGTGGAAGAAAACCCGGACAGCAAAGAAGCAGGCCTAGCCCACCTTTGTGAGTTTATTGAGGACTGTGAACACACTGTTTTGGCTACTAAGATTCTACACTTGTTGGGCAAAGAGGGTCCCAGGACGCCAGTTCCCTCCAAGTACATCCGCTTCATTTTTAATCGGGTTGTCCTAGAGAATGAGGCCGTCAGAGCTGGTGAGTCATGGGGACACTGATAATGATATTACTGCTGATCTTTTGAAAGTAACTCAGACTGATGGTCTCACCTTTGTTACACAGTCAGCTGTGAAAACAGACATTTATTCTACCATTTTACAGCCCTGACAATTCTTTGGCAAAGTCCTGTCAGTTCTACCTCCTTAAATTTTTTCATTCTCTTGTTTCTGTTGTTATGGGTGCTGACTTAGGCTCTCATCCATTTCAGATACCTAAGTGGTCTGACTGCTCCTAGTCTCACACATATCCAGTCCATTCTCCACACTACGAAAATTTATTTCATATCTAGTGTCCTTTAATAACAACTTGGAGGTTGAACGATACCTGACTTCTGTTTTATCTCTGGTCTCTCACTCTGGCTCCTTTGTTCACCAACACAGGTTTTATGCTCAGACTTGCTCACTTGGGTGTGATGATAGATCATATTTTCTGTTCTATACGGAGGGCCTGTGTACTTACTGTCCTACCAGTCTAATCTTTTCCTGCTTTTTCCATCTCACTACCACTACTTGTTCTTAAAATATTAACTCAAGTAATAAGTGTCACCTTTTTGTCTTCTCCTCCACCAATTCTAATATAAGCTGTCTTTTCTGTATTCATTTACCATCCAGAGTATAATTCTACTTGGGACTTAGTATGCTGTGTTGTAATTATTTCTTTACTTGCCTATCTTTCCTACTGTGGTGTAACTCTGTAAGGTCAGAAACCATGTCTTTTATCTTTCTACCCCCAGTACATACCACAATTCTTCATAGAAGTTAAATAAACAATAAATCCTTATTGAATGAAAGAAATTTAAATAAGAGTTTCTTTTCTACTCAGGGCTAGTTGTTTGAATTATAACTTCATCACACAGATAATATATAAAAGGTAGTAGGATAGAGATATAGCTCATACAGAAAATACACATTCTTCTTCTTCCTCAGTGCATGGAGGATTTTCCTATTTAGAGCTCTCTACAGCCTTGAGAATTCTGCCTATGCTTAAATGTATCAAAGAAATAAGATCAAGAAATGCTCAATAAAACAAGAGATTTTCTCTCCCTTGAACATGGACTGCTTTTCTGATTAAGACACCATATTTATATTGCTTCATTTTATGCTTTATAACAGCTGCTGTGAGTGCTTTGGCTAAATTTGGGGCTCAGAATGAGAGTCTTCTCCCAAGCATCCTTGTACTTTTACAAAGGTAAGTAAAAGAGTTTCTTTTTTAAAAAAATGGGAATTCTATATGGCTAAATAGTAAAATCCTCATTGTACCTTATCAGATGTACTATAGGGCCAGAGTAAAGCTGATAGAGTAAGTCAGGGATAAATAACATTTTTTTCTCTTTCTAGTAATTATGTGTGTGCTAGATACATATAAAATTTGAGTTTGGATTTCTCTGCGACTGGAGTCATAACAAAAATGTACTTCAATTTGTGCAACACGTGCTAAATTCAAAGAGATCTTAGGTGATTCACATGCCAAGTGTGAAAATGTTAGCTTTTCATGGACTGCATAATTTCCTATGTGATGGGGAAAAGACTTGCTTTAGCACTTGCTCTGTGATTGCATTTTGTAATTGAAGCAGGTAAATCACAAGCCAAAGGCTGTCTGGTTTAAATAAAACAAGTTGCCATTTGAACAATAACAGTAACCTGGATCCTGAATGCTATTTATTCTTTTAGTATCCTTAGAAAGTATACTATTTCCATTTCTTAATTTTTAGAGAAATCTGAGACTCCGGTTCATGTAGTTGCAGGTACAAGAATAGATTCTAAGCTGCTATTTCATTTTACTATGTTCTCCTAGTTCCTTCAGTGCCTACTTATGTAGTACTTGTGATTCACTGTAACAGTATTTCCTCAGTAACTCAGAACTGTTCCAAGATTTGTGGAGACTTTAGGAGCCAATGTTGGCAGTTTTATAGAGGGAGTACCATATGATCTTCAGTATGGTATTAAAGCTATTGGAAATCTTGGGGTACTGAAACATGCCTATTGTTTTTCCCCGGACAGGTGTATGATGGATACTGATGATGAAGTACGGGACAGAGCTACCTTCTATCTGAATGTGCTACAGCAGAGGCAGATGGCACTGAATGCTACATATATTTTCAATGGTCAGTGAGAGCCAAGGACATAGACAAATAAATGTACTTCTGTTTCCCAAATAGTGTCTTGGAACGTAATAGTTGCTAATGATTTGTATATTACCTAGCCCCACTACGCAAATGCTTAGTTTTCCTTTGAATACACTTTTTCTAGGGGAACTTGTGTTTACATGGATAGTGGAAATCCTATGAAACAATCTATTAGAAAATATTTCTTAAAAGTACAGGAAGGCCTAAAGAATATTGCTTATTCTTGATCTTCCTCTGGGATAGGTCTATCCTTTCTCCTTTTCCTCAGGCTCTCATTGCTCCCATATGGCTAAGGTGTTTTCTTTTCTGAGAGGTACTTACATTTTGTTGAAAAATTTTGTGCTCTGCTCCCAAATTTCCTTGAAAGAAATATGACAGTTTATAATTTTATAAGGCAGTTTTACATAATAGCCTTTATTTTTAATTTCTTAGATTATAAAATGGTTATCTTCCTTCAGAAAGCTTAGGTAAATATTACAAATCACTGCCAACAGATTATAATGCTGAGATTTCTCTGTCTTAACAGGTCTGACAGTCTCTGTACCAGGAATGGAAAAGGCCTTACATCAGTATACATTAGAACCTTCGGAAAAACCCTTTGACCTGAAATCAGTTCCACTTGCTATGGCTCCTGTCTTTGAACAGAAAGCAGGTAATGAAAATAGTTAACTGTTTGTTTTTCTATATACAAGTAGTTTTATAAAACTACTATTATCATACCTTCTAAAGTAGAAAATAAAATGAGAAAAAATATCTAATAATTGTTTTGTTTATTCAGTTGATACAAGATAAAGTATATTTTTATTAGGGATTTTCAGACGGCTTCTGGGTTTCGCATAAAAGCCATATGAAATATGTCCCAGTATGAAAGTTTTTTTTTTTTTTAAATTCAAAGTGTTGAGGGGCTAGGGATTTAGCTCAGCGGCAAAAGCGCCTGCCTGGCAAGCGCAAGGTCGTGAGTTCGGTTCCTGGTACTGGAGAAAAACAAAAAAAAAAAAAAAAAAAAAAAAAAAAAAAGTGTTGAGAGCACTTGAAATTAGTTGCTATTGTGTTTCTCAGAGCTGTACAGTGCTGTCACCACCAATTTTTATTTCATGTATTTGATAATCTTTTAGTTAAGCCAATGAAAGGTTTGTCTTGAAAGAATGTAGGACAAAGTCATCAAAAATATTTCCAAAGAATCTCTAACGTTAACACTCAAAAAGAAAAGGAAAAAAAAAAGAAGAAAATATTTAGTTACAGTACAGAAAAACTGGGAATGAAAGATCTTATGCTTAATCTTCAACATTTTCAAATATTTTTGTTGGTATTTTACAAGTGATATTTTTTGTTTTGATTATAAGCTTTGTTTTATAAATTGTTTTTCCTTTTATGACTGCTTTTTTTATAACTTGGTGTATTTAAAACAAACTATATTTTAAGGCTCACTTTTTTATATTATGTCCATTAAATATATTTTATTTTGAATGTCATCCCACCCAAAAAGTGACAAAAACTATGGGTGATTCAGCAGTAGCACATTGTCTGTCTGCTAGATGTTTCTGCCCTTGTTTTTCTGTCTGCTTTCGTAGCTCACAGTGGGGAGAGAAGCTAATGTGATTCACCATATCTGTCTTTATAGAAATCACACTTGCGGCTCCCAAACCTGAAAAGTTAGCTCCTTCCAGGCAAGACATTTTCCAAGGTATGATGATTTGATATGGAGAAATAATAATCTGTAATCTCTAGATATTATATTACAAAGACCACTGTTTTTATTCATTTTGATTTATTCTCAAGTCAGGAAATCTTAGTATAGCTGAAGATCATAGGTTATAGTTGCTAAGGCAACCTGGAGCTCATGAAACTTTCCAATTCATAATTGCTAACTTAGTAACTGGGAAGGTTGTTTTTGTCTGTATGTTGTTGGTTATTGGGCAATTCAAATTTTAAGAAGTTAGGAATTTAACTTCTTTTGCTTTTAGTCATTCAGTATATAAACTTGCTAATTTAAAAGATTATTTTGCTAAAGCTTGAGGGAATATTAGTTGAATGTTCAACTGTTAATAAGACTACAGAACATAATTTTTGCATTTATGGAAACATTAGCATAGCTCTCCTTGTCTTCATCATATCTTTCTTTCTTTTCTTTCCTTTTTTCTTGATAGAACAATTAGCTGCCGTTCCTGAGTTTATGAACCTAGGACCCTTGTTCAAGTCTTCTGAGCCTGTTCAACTTACTGAAGCAGAAACAGAATATTTTGTTCGATGTATCAAGCACATGTTTACCAGTCATATTGTATTTCAGGTAAAATAAGTGCCCTTAGTTCCCATAGAGACTTAGTATAAACTGGTATGCTTGGAGACAAACGTCAATTCCCCTTTAGCTTACGATTCTAGCTTTCACTTTTTTTATGAAAGATTAATATAGCAGCAATTCCAATTTTCTTTATAAAGCTGTAAAGATCCTTTCATATGATGGGTAGCTTTTAATTCTTAAAATCTAAAACTGAAATATCTGAAGAAACTGGACAACATAAAGTATAACTGTTTAAAAGTCAGCATTTAACATCAAGGTATATTAAATGGGTTGTTTAAAGAACTTACATTTAGGCTGGGCGTGGTGGCGCATGCTTGTAATCCCAGCACTTGGGAGGCTGAGGCAGGAGGATTGTTGCGAGTTTGAGGCCAGCCTGGGCTACAAAGTGAGCTCAAGGCCAGCCTGAACTGCAAAGCAACACCCTGTCTCAAAAAGACCAAAAAAAAAAGAGAGCTTATATTTGATAGCCATCAGGTTTCTACCATCTTGTTTGGTACAGCTCAATTTCAGGAAAGAAAAAAACCTGATGAATAATATAAAAAGAAAGTTTAAAAATAAGACTCTCTGTTGCCCAAATTAAAATCTTAGAGTGAGGCTAAGGGTGTAGCTTAATGGTACATGTGTACCTAGCATGTGCAAGACCCTCCCTGGGTTCAGTCACCACCTGCCTCCCCCAAAAAAGAGAAAACCTTAGGGCACCTGTAGTGCTGTTTAGAGCGGGGAAGTATAGTATGTTCCAGAGCTGAGCCATAGATTATGAGTGAAAAGAAACAACTTGCTTGAAAATATTTATCCTTTGTTTTTTCATTTGCTGACATTTCAGTTTGACTGTACCAATACCCTCAATGACCAGCTACTTGAGAAAGTGACAGTGCAGATGGAACCATCAGATTCCTTTGAAGTGCTATGTTGTATTCCAGCCCCCAGCCTCACTTATAATCAACCAGGAATATGTTACACTCTTGTTCGTTTGCCTGATGAAGACCCTACAGCAGGTACTAACCCACAGAAAAGACAACATGTATGATTAAGAATGCATTACTTCTTGAGTTTGTAAAATGTCTGGGTAAATGTTTAGGGTTCAAGAATGTGCTCCCTTTCCAGATTTTAATGATGATAATGATGATGATGATGTGTGTGTGTGTTTATAAAATTGGTTACTGCTGCAGGAGTATTAATTTAAAAACTAAAGTTTCTGAGTAAAACTTTGTTTATGATTTAATCTTAAAAGATACACTGAATGTATACAGTGGTAGTCCAAAAAAGAACTCAGGTTTTCTATTTGAAGAATGTAACCACTAGTGAGACTTTGTATATTTCCTGTTTCCCTCAAAGATTCATGACCTAGTGATGCTTGGTTATTTTACTAGATGGTTGGCATTTTAAAATACATCATTTTTAAAGGTCCTGTAGTATAAACTTGGTGTTTGAAAGTATGTTTTAGCCCCATGAGTAGCTTAACTAACCATTGTGTCCATGTGTAGTCATTGAGGGGTTGGGAAGGGTGTGGCTGGTAGAGCCAACTGCTAGTGCCTGTAGTAGGATGTACAAATTTGGGACTTGGGAAGGTCTTGTGCTGCATCTCTTTTCAATGTCAAGTATCTATTCTACTTCATTCCTTTCCCATATTCACTGCATAATACCCATTGCTGTTACCCAATTGTTACAGAAATAAGCACACATATCAATTTATGTTTTGAACAATCTTTACTCTTTTAAGTATAGGAAAAACAGAGGTTAACAAAATTAACAAATGGTGGGGAAGTTACAGAGTTACAAGAAATAATAAAAGTACTAGTAAATAGTTATCCCTGGTCATCACTGAGTTACATTTGGGGCTGACCCTGCTTTCCTCCATAGCCCCTTTCCTAACTCCCTTCTCTGATGTTGATTCTGGGGGGCTCCCGCCCAGCCTCATCTGTGTTAGGTGCTGAACCAGGCTACTCAGACTCGGGCACGAGGTAGATTCAAGTTGGCACCATTGCCGAGTCTGAATCCCAGGTGTTCCCTCTGGCCCAGGGTGGAACTGCACTGCTGTCCTACAGCCAACTGAGATCATAACCCCTGGGTGGGAAGGCACTTTCCTATCTGGCCTCTGATACTTCTCCTTTCAGCTTTAGGCCATCTGGCTTTCAGTTACCCCCATGTCCCTTGATGAGGTTTCTCTACTTCCATTTCCTTGTCACTTCACATTCTCTCCTGACAGATGTGTCTGAAGTGCATCCACTGTTACTAATTAGGCTGGATACACTCTTCAGTAGAGCTAGTTTTATTTATCCCTCTTCCAAACTAGTTTCTGGGCCTACCCCTGGGCTTTTACCATCATCCTGGGAGACTGCATTTTATCACTTTCTTTTAGCAGCCCTCTCTCCTGTTTCATTCCTGCTCTTACGGTATTTCTCACTGTTTCTGTTTTTTTTTAAGATGACACCACTGTGTCACTTAATTTCAGAGGGAAGTAAAATGCTGAATCCATTGAAACAGTCAGCCCTTCCTAATTGAGAATACTAGCTCCTCCCATTTCCCAGGGATAACTCAGGTGCCTCACATAACAGGGAGTGGAATTAACAGAATCTAATAAGTACAATTTCACAATATCAAAATACACAAAACAACAATTTTGAAATTACAGAAGTTACATATATTATAGGAAAACAATAAAAAACATTTCCACCAAGATAGGAAGAATAGAGAAAGTTTTCTCACCCGTCTTCACTAAGGAGTTTATTTCTTTATAAATACAGATCTTACAAATTAGCCCAGAGGTTTCAACCTTTGGTCTGCTGGCTATAGACTCTGATTTTTATATATAAAATTTTGGCAATAAGAGAGTTTCCTTTCTTTTATGTTAAACGCAAGAGTTTTCTGATCATTGATAAAACATGGTTATAAACTTTTATCAGTGCCTCTTACAGAAAAATGAAATCTTGTTTCAACAGTTGGACTTTTAAATTGTGCTAGTAATCAGTTATATTCAACCCATCGTATACATGTTTGAAAACAAACTCCTTTCTATTCTTTAGTTTTTGTTAGAAATGTCAAGTTTTAATTCATAGCCAATCAGAAGTCTTTGCTATACAAAAAAAATAAGTGAAATACCAGGGCATAGATGGTAATGGGAGTCTTGCATCCATTCTTTCTTTTCTGTTTGCACTTTCCCATCCGAGATATTCCAAGCTTTACCAGTCACCTCAAAATCTATCACCTCTACATCTCATCTTAGAAAAATATTTTTTTCCTTATAGTTACAAGGAAAAAAATAGAAAGTCTTAGATGTGATAATTCTTGATCTTGAAAACAACGTAGAAAGGAAAACAGGTTTTATTCTTTTTCTTTTATTTTTGAAAACAAGTTTTATAGATAGAAGATTTTAATTCTGACCCTTCTACATACTGTGATCTTGGACAAGTTATTTGATCTGTGGAAGCCTGTTAGAATTGTTATAGGAATGAAATGAAATGAAATGAAATGAAATGAAATGAAATGAAATGAAATGAAATAAGTACTTAGCATAGTCCTTGCATATAGTAAATAATACATGCTATTTTGTGTAATTATGTAATTGCTTGCTTTCTCCTTTTGATCATCTTTAAAATCAAGGCTTCTACAGTTCAGAAGATATACTTTCTACTTTCCTCCAGAAAGTTGTTTTATCAATTATACCTTCCTTCACACAATCTTTAAACTTTCTTACTCCCTTTACTTCCTAGATGTACAAAAATCCATTGAAAAGAATTTAGTTCAGCCAAACATAATATTACCATTAACACCCCCTTCTCAAAGCTTGGGCAATTTCTTGAAAACGTTATAGCCTCATAAGTCTCAACTCAGTTACTTCTGTTTATCATTGTTTGTTCTCTAAAACTTTACCCATAAAGTTTTAGAAAATCCTTCAAGGCAGTATTCCTTCTTAGCATCCATTGTTATTCAGCAACTTTCTTTCCTGTAAATAATTCTTATACCAGCACCAATATGTATTATATATACACTGTTCTGCCATTGCTCCCCACTTTGGATGTCTCTAATGCCCCTATTTACCATTTTATTTCACTGCCTATTCAGAACCATTCTAAATCCTGTATTGCTTTTATTGTAGTACTCTCATGCTTTATTGCTGTACATGTCCCCTCATCTGCAACCATGTGAACAAAGGCAAACAACTCATTCTAAAAACAGTCTTCTATATAAAATCTCCATACTAAGATCAACTTCAGCAGTATAGGTATATGTTTCTTTTGTTTTTCATTAGGGATACTTCTTGCCATATAGCAATTCATAACACCTTCAATTCTGAACTTCCTGCCTAGACGTCGTTGAAGTGCCATCTTGACTTAAATGATCCCATTTCTTCAAGAATCCGACATAAACATGCATAGCCACTCACTTCCGCTTTTTGCCTTAGGGTGAAAAACCCTCCTGTGTTGGTGTTGCACAGGCCCTGTTCACTCTGTCTCTCAGTGAATGGATTGCCAATGTGAATATGTGTCAGCATCCTTCTTGACCTCCTCTCAGTGCTGAAACATGTCCCTTCTCTTAGCTTCTCTCATACTAAACAAGCTGTGCGTTCAGATTCCATTTCACACAGTTATCTCCATAGGACCTTTTATTCTCCTGACTACCCATTCAAGTGATTATCTGATGGAGTGTTCAAGCAGCCACCACATTCCCTATTGACAATTTATTTCTCTATGCTTTTCCTGTTCTCTTTTATTCCATACTTGGAGTAAAGTTTAAATGAACAGTACCCTACCCAGTTTATCAACTGTAAATTTCCTAAGTAATTCCCAACGTGAAGTGAATGACAGGCTGTCCCCTTAACTCTCATATTGTTCTAACTAATACTTCTGTTTCATTTTTGCTCTGCTAATTTGGTTGGAGACCATGTAAAGTAGAGTCCAGCTTATGTACAACTCTCATGTTTGCTAGTTTTATACCTGATCGTAGGCTTTCCGACTGATAACCTCCAAGGGTTTCTACCACTGCATCTACGTGGGTTCACATTAACTGCCTATAGTGTTTCTTGATAAACGTTGTTTCTATTGTCCTGTTGAAAGAAGTAATTTCCAAACCATACTAAGGGTATTACCCTACTTGCTTCTCTTCCAGACATAAAGTCTTCTACTTGCACTGCTCATATGGTATGCTGTGAAACACAGCTTTACCAACATATGCCCTGAGATCTGACAATACCCACTAGCTTGGAAATTCTGCATTCTGCGACTGCCTTTTGACACTGACTGCATACCAAGGGAGAACCCCCAACACTTCACAAGTTTATATCCTTTCCTGTCGCTTTCACTTACCACAAACTCACCTCACCTAACTAAATTCTCAAGTGTGACCATCCTCTTCCTACCACTTGGCATACTGAACAGAAATACAACACTGCATAGCACTGATATTGATGCCTTGAGATGTAGGGTCACTTTCAACAGAGCCTATGATACCTCTTGAACATCACATGACACTTCATCACCTCCTATGAGTGCACATACTCAGGAATCCTTCCATCAGCACTACAACTTCCTGACCTGACCTCCCTGCTTGCAGCACTGCCTGAACCCTTTCTGATGGAGCAAACTACTAATACCATCTCTTTCTGAAATTGCTGATGAAAGGGCAAAACCTCCCTCTGACCACATTAGAAAAAGGGGTTTCCTCCCTTAGGCTGCTTTGTAAAACTTCCCTACACCTCTCCATCTTCAGGTGGTGGAGGTCACATGTGACATGTGCCCTTGAATACTAAAACATCATTCTCTTGTGCCAAAGTCTTCCTTCCTCCTCTGCTCTTTCTGTCTTCTAGAAACACTATTGGAAACATCTGCCTCTGATTGTCCGACCACGTTCCTGTGGACATGTGTTAATCCTGAGCCCTCACTCCTACCTCCACAGCGCCCAGCCCACCTCACAGATGTGCACCCTGGCATCCTCACTACTGCTGAGCTTCACAGCTCTGTGTTCCTGGTGGGAAGCCTATGCTCCTGCACTTTCTCTT